AGTCAGGGGCATCAAAGAGTCACAGAGGAGAAACAGGAAGTGTGGTACACCCAAGGCTGTGCCTTCAGCTCAACTTGTGGGAGTGAAATGCATCACAAGCCCAAAGCAGAGTGGGATGGATTGCAATGTTTCCTTAGGGGCCAGCTGGCTCTGACCAGGTTGGGTACAAGGGTGTAGGAGGAATGAGTAGTTATAAACGATCTCAAGGGGCTGGAGAGATGGCTCAGTGGTTAAGAGCACTGGCTGCTCTTCCAGAGGACATGAGTTCAATTCCCAGCACCCACATGGTGGCTCACAATCATCTGTAATGAGGTCTGATCCTCTCTACTGGTGTGCAGGCATACATGCAGGTAGACTGTTTAATACATGATAAATAAAATAAATCTTAAAAAATAAATCAACACAAACCACACTACTAACTTGGGTACAAGTTTGGTTTGTAAAGGTAAATCTTAACCATATTTCTCAGAAGGAAACATTCTCACATTCCCAGACTTCCACACATGAATCATGACACGCTAATGCCCTGACTTCATGCACACAACATAAATAAAAATGTAAAACTTCCCACACCTTTAATCCCAGCACTTAAGAGGCAGACACAGGTGGATCTCTGTGAGTTCAAAACCAGCCTGGTCTACAGAGCGAGTGCCAGGATAGGCTCTAAAGCTACACAGAGAAACCCTGTCTAGAAAAAAAAAGAAAGAAAAAAAGTAATAACCCAAGTTGACTTTACAGTTGCATTTTCCTCTTTTTTTTTTTTTTAAGCAGTGCCTCACTCTGTAGTCCCATGGCTCCTCAAACTCAAGATCCTCCTGCCTTGACTTCCTAAGTGCTGCGATGACATGGGGTGGCCCTGCTCACTCAACATGAGTCATGCTTGGGGCAGGCCACCCCATGTCACCCGTGGAGCCACAGCTTGACGCACAACTGGAATCACCTACAGAAGTGAGGTGGGCTGCAGAAATGTTTTCAACTATCAAGTCATTTCAGATGGGCTATGTAGAGGAGACAGGAGGCAGTGAGCCCCTCCTCCTCACTAGACAAGAAGTGCAGCAAGGATACAGGGGTGGGGGCCTGCCTAGGTGCGGGAGAAACCCCAAGAATCTAGGAGTCTTCCCTTTACACAGGCAGGCAGAGGGTAGTCTTGAACTTGTTGCTCCTGGCACCATCTCCGGCCTCCTGAGTGCTGGGACTACAATGGTGCTCATACTACCATCCTCTGCTTATGTGGTTGTGCTGGCTGGCTTTATATCAGCTCGAAACAAGCAAGGGTCATTTTGGAAGATGCAACCCCAACTGAGAAAATGTCCCCACCAGACTGGTCTGTGGGCGAGCCCATAGGGCATTTTGTTGATTGACTGATGGGGGGGGTCCAAGCTCACTGTGAGTGGTGCCACCTCTGAAATGGTGGTACTGGGTGTTAGCATTCAGGCATCTGTATTGGCCTGTCGTTGGAGTTCTAACAGGATATGTCCTCGGATGCAGCCACTAAGAGCACCACCTGAGCAGATTCACTGTGCTCCCTTTTAAAAGGGCTTGAACCCTGTCTGTGGCATCTTCTGTCTCTCTCTGTCTCTGTGTGTGTGTGTGTGTGTATGTGTGTGTGTGTGTGTGTGTCTGTCTGTCTCTCTCTCTCCCACTGCTTCTGTCTCAGCTCCCCCTCCAGGTTCCTGCCCTGACTTCTTGGGAAGATGATGGGATAAACTCTTCTCTCCCCAATATGCTTTTGGTTATAGTCATCACGTCAATAGAAACCCTAAAACAACCTGGCAGCGGTGTCACACGCCCTTAATCCCAGCACTCGGGGAGCCAGAAGGAGGTGGATATCTGAGTTGGAGGCCAGCCTGGTCTGCAGAGCAAGTTTCAGGATGCCCAGGGCTAGGCAGAGAAGCCCTATCTTGAAAAACCAACCAAACAAACAAAAAAACAACAAAAGAAACCCAGGGCGTTATACATGCTGGGCAAGCATTCTAACAAATGAGCATGTTCCTAGCCCCAACTCTCCTTCCTATAGGAATGACTTCGGCTCTGGTGTCCGTCTGTCTCTGATACTGCCTTTTATGTAGCAGGTCCCCAGCACACCACCTGCCCTCTCTTCTGGCAACTCATCAGCAAACTCTTTCAGCCTTAATCTCTTTTCCCAGCCAGCCCTCCGTCCACATAACCCAACCTCCCTTTCGGCCCATATACATTCCCCCCATCCGTTTGTTTTCTTGAGACTGGCTATCACTATGCATCTCTGGCTGGCCTAGAACTCCAAGAGACCCATCTGCCTCTGCCTCCTGAGTTCTGGGATAAACGGCGTGCCCTGGCATGCCTGATTCACAGCCATTTAAGAAAGGATTTAGTTTTGTTTTTATGTGTTCATGCGTGCACACACACTGTGTGTGTGTGTGTGTGTGTGTGTGTGTGTGTGTGTGTGTGTGTGTGTAAGTGAATGCAGGTGTTAATGGAGGTCCAGAGAAGGCACTGGTCGTCCCAAGAGCTAGAGTTATGGGCAGTTAAGGGGTTGCTGAGAACTGAACTCGGGTCCTCTGCAAGAGCAGTACAAACTCTTAGCCACTGAGCCATCTTTTTAGCCCACCCACATCCCTGTTTATTATCATTGGTTTTGACGCAGGGTCTCATGTAGCCCAGGCTGGCTTCAAACTCTCTATGGAGTCAACGATTGAATTCCCGATCCTCGCCTCCTCCTGCCTATACCCGCTAAGTGCTAGGAAAAGATGCTGACACCACCATACACACACCCATTTTATGAGGTGCCAAGGATCCAAACCGGGACTTCTTGCAAGCTAGGAGTTCTCTACCAACTGATGTACACCTTCAGCCCCACCCGGGCCACTCACGCCTCAGGTTAACCACATACGCCTCCCATCTCTGCCCTGTGCTGCTCTGGTCCCGCTCTGCACTTCTCTGCTTCCCCCATCCTTCCCATCTCAACCAATCACTGTGTGACTACCTCACCCCAAATCCCCTACCCTCAGCCCTGGGATCCTGTGCGTTTAAACCAAGCCTTGTTTCCTCCCAACATGCTTGGGACAGTCTCAAAAGCTCTTGCTGGACACATCCTAAGGAATAAGATCCAAGTAGCTCGGCTAGTTTTCAGGCACCCTGAATCATCTGATGTTTCCAACCTCCTCTAAGTTCACTCGGCTCTGCCAAAATTCATTGAGGCCCACTCTCAGAACGGTCTCCAGTCAGAAAAACGGAAAGAGACACGAGCTCTGTGGGTCAGTGTCTGCTTACCGTTCCCAAGGCCCTAGATTCCACAACCAGTATGTATAAACGGGGTATAGTGGGGCAAGTCTGTAATCTCAACACTCTGGAGTCAGAGGCAGAACATCAGGAGTTCAAGGCCATTCCTGGCTACTCAGAAAGTCTGAAGGCAGCCTGAGGCACACCCCTTTAATCCCAGTACTCAGGAGGCAGAGGCAGGGGGATCTCTGTGAATTCGAGGCCAGCCTGGTCTTCAGAGCTAGCTCCAGGACAGCCAGGGCTACACTCAGAGAAACCCTGTCTTGAAAACCAGAATAAATAAAAATGAAAGACTTCCCAGAGCACATACCTACTCGGGAGATGAGCTTCGGGGCAGTGCTTGTCTGAGCACCTTCACCCCGACAGAAAGAATGTGTCTCTGAATACAGGACTACATTCTCCTGCCTCCTCCCTTCCCTTCCCTTCCCTACACGCTTCCCACTACTGAAGAATCGACAGCAGGCTGGTTCTCTCGTTCTACCGTGTGGGTCCTGGTTTGAACTCAGGCTGCCGGGCTGGGCAAGCAAGCTTCTCTGCCCACTGAGTCACCTCACCAGCCCACTAATTTCCCGGCAAGTTTCCAGACAAGAGACACCTCCCTCCTCCAGGGGTCCCATTAAGACCCGCCATTCTTCTGGCAGGTCTCAGCTTTTAGTTGGCTCAGATTCCGGAAGGTTCTTTAACATGACCTCCACTTCAAACCCATTTCCCCAGGTTCCCGTAGCACTGCGTCACTTCTCCAACTGTTATCCCGATGTCACTAGACTCAGCTCCCCAGGGGCAGAAGAACCAGCGGAGGCCTACCCAACTCCAGGACTGGGCTGGAAGGACACCTCATCACCCAGCAAGAGGTGGAGGCCGGGGAAGGGAGAGTAAGACAGTCCTTGTGAACACTTATGTGTGGCTATGTTCTTCAGCTCTCAAGGGGCTTGTTACCCAACTCTTTCTGTCGCTGCCCCTGGCCAGACTGAGTCACTAATATAGGTTTATTGTCCTCTACTGAGGCAGCAGCCTATGGCACAACTGTCTCTCTCTCAAACCTGAACTGCTGTGTGTGTGTGTGAATGTGTGTGAGTATGAGCCAGGAGAGGGCTCAAACACAGCCCTGCTCAAGCAGAGCTAGGATACTGAACTCGGATGTTATCATTTGAGAGTCTCACATACATTTTGATCAAGCCCACCCCAACGCCCTCCCATCCAGTTCCTTCCCTATTCCCAGATCCTGAACTTTTTTGTGTTGTTGTTTTGGCTTCATATTGGCCTCAAACTCATGTCAATCCTGCTGCAGCCTCCTGACTGCTAGCACTACAGAGCTGAACCATCACAGCTGGCTATGATCCTGAGCAGCGTTTTACAAGTGCGGCATGTGTGCATATACATGTATGTGTAGTGGTCAACCTCAGCTGTCATTCTTCAGGTGTTGTCTACTGACCCTTAACCCTACATTTTTATCATCTTTAATTACGTTTATGTTTGTGTGTCTCGGTGGGTATGTGTCTCCTCCTCCTCCTCCTCCACACCACGGGATCGGGGTCCCGCACAACGCCTGTTGCTAAGTCAGTGCTAGCTCTCGCTAATACCAGCAGGGGTGCGTGCAAAGCCTGGAAACTCGGTGCAACTTGTGGGAACGACGGCTCTGCCGGGTGCAGCGGGGGGAAAGGCTGCCCACCCCGCTCCGGCTCCCCAGAACCCTCTCCACCTCGCTCCGGGGGCAGGGAGGCTGGGCTCAGCGGCCGCCTGACCTGCTGCGCGACTCCGGGCGAGCGGGCGGGAAACGGTTCCTGCGAGGCGCTTCTAGCCTAGCGCCTGTCTCCTCGGCCCTCCGGGGCCAACTCCACAGTCCCGCAAACGCCGGGTTACCAAGGGCGACCCCGGGGGCGGGGTGGCTCCGTCTAACCCACGCGACCGCCCTTTCCGCAGAGCCTCAAAGCGGGCAAAGCCTAACGCTCGCTCCCGAGGCGAGGAGGGTGACCGCGACCAGACAAGGCGTAGCCGAGCCCCTCTCGCGAGATCTTGTTAGTGGGCGGGGCCCAGGGAGGGAGTCTTTTTTGCTGACCGGGCGACGTGACGTCATATTTTCCCCCCCCCGCGATATCTCCGAGATGTCTGAGTCTGTCTCGCGAGGTTTGGTGGCCGGAACCCAGCTTCGGCGGGAGGCTGGGTGGGGAGGGGCCTCTCTCGCGAGATCAGGGGACTCTGCGCCGGGGCGGACGCTGCGCAGAGTGGAGGTCGTTGGAGTCACTCGTCCGCTGCCCGCTTGGTCTCCCGGAGCTCCGCGCCCCCGCCCGCGCCAGTCATGCTGTCCGCCCTCGCCCGGCCCGCCGGCGCCGCTCTCCGCCGCAGCTTCAGCACTTCGGCCCAGGTACGAGAGGCTGCCCGCCTGGCGGGGAGCCCCGGGGCGGCGCGTGCAGCCCGGGGACGCGCGGGCTCTTCATCCGCCGGACTCATCCTGGACGTCAGGGTCTCCCGGGCCAGGCTTCCCCCGGGAGTCTGCGCTTCCTGTAGGTTACAGGAGCGAGGCTCTCAGTCCGGACGGAGGCAGACTGCATTGTATGCAGTCTGGCGTCGCTTCCACGTAACTCGTTTTCTCCTTGTAGCGTCCACATGAGTTACGCACGCACGAGGAGGAGAAATGGCATGTAACATTTTAACTTGTGCAGTACAGGCACGCTGAGGGTGGAGATCTGAGCCAACGTTGCAGTAATTTGGCAGAATTGATGGAAATTCAACGCTCCTGACCACTGTCCATGGCCTAACTGATCGCTCTATTTATTTATTCATCTATTTCTATCAGGCTGCCCTCGCACTCAAAGAGATCCGCCTCTGTCGCCCCAGTGCTGGGATTAAAGGCGTGTGCTATCATGCCTCCTTTTTCAAAAATTATTTCTCTGTGTGTGTGTGGTGTAGGCGCACATAGGTGCCCAGAGGCTACAGAAGGACACTGCACCAGCGTTAAACCAGCGGTTCTCAACCTGGGAATCAAACGACCCTCTCACAGAGGTCACACATCAGATACTTGCATTACGATTTAGGACAGCAAATTTATAATTATGAAGTAGAAGCGAAAATAATTATACGATTCAGGGTCACCGCAACATGAGGAACTGTTTTTGAGGATTGCAGCACTGGGAAGGTTGAGAACCACAGCTCTAGATCTTATTTTCTTTGTATAAGGACTTTGACAGACCCTGCCAGGCTGGAGACGGGGGATTTGAACCCGGGCCCTTACGTAGGCTCTTAGTCACTGAGCCACTGCCTCCACTAGAGCTTTTTCTCTTGGGAATTATTCTGGGAGGATCATCCCTGCTTTGGGTAGACTTGGCCTGAACACTTAGAGCTGAGCTATTTTTAGTCATCTTCTACTTGGACGGTGGTTCTCTTACTAGTGCTGCATATCACAATCAATAAAGAGAGGAGTCTCAGGATCAGGTCTACAGGGTAGGATCTGTGTATTTACAGATCTCCAGCAAAATCGATACAACCCAGGCTTAAGGAAATAATTACCATGTCCCCAAAGGGAACTGATAGTTGGAGGGAACTCCAAATTTGAATTTAGGTCCTGTCTTCTGTTTCCTGTTCAGTCCGTTTATTGAAGAATAAAGATACAGGGGCCTGCAAAGATGCTCAGCAGCTAAAAGTGCTCCTCATCTGGCAGAGGACCAGAGGGGCGAAAGTCATCTTCTGACCTATTTGGGTGCCTACACATGAACTCACACACCAAAAACAAGTAGTTACTCTCTGGGTATGGCAGTGCATGCTTGTAATCCCAGCCATTCAAGAGTCAGAGGCAGCAAGATTAAAAGTTTGAGATCTGTGTGGGTAACTTGCTCGGCTTCTGTCTCAAAATGAAACACAGTTGTAGGGACATAATTCAGTGATAGACGCTTGCTAGGCATATACAAGGCCCTGGGTGCTCAGAGATAACCAATGTGAATGAGTGGCCTGGATGGGTGAGAAATAAGTTAATTGGTGGGTGGAATGACCATGGTTGCTGAGGAGGAGAGTAGGGTTAGCTCACCAGAGACGGGAAGAATGTGGCTGAGTGCTGGTGTTGCGGCCTGAGGATTGGGTTCAGGGCCTTGTGCGCGTTAAGCAGCTTCTGTTCCACTGAGACACACGCCCAGGTTCAGCCTGTTTGTGCTCATTGCTCATTTGCGGGGGGTGGTAGAAAGAGTCTCACAGTGCAACCTTGGCTGGCCTGGACCTCTCTGTGTAAACCTGGCTGGTCTTAAACTAGAGATCCACCTGCCTCTGTACTTCCTGAGTACTGGGATTAAAAGTGTGGGCTAATATGCCCAGCTTCCATTTTGGTGGTTGTGTCTGTGCACCAAGCAAAGCACAGAATTCTGTGTTTTGATTTAAAATCTGTGTGTGTGTGTGTGTGTGTGTGTGTGTGTGTGTGTGTGTGTGTGTGTGTACCTTGTTGCGCATGTGGAGGTAAGGACAACTTGGTTTTCACCTTCCTCGTGTAGGTCCTGTGAAGTGAGCTCAGTTCCTCAAGTTTGGAAGCCAATCTGCGTTACCCACTGAGCCGTCGCATCAGCCCCAGAGTCCTACAGTAGATATGTTGTTGTCTCTCCTTTGTTACGAAGGGTTTTAGTATTGAGCCCCAGATGGAAAAGTAGGGGTTGACAAGGAAGGAAGTCGAGATTTTATTTTTAATTGGGGGAGGGTGGTGTGGGTATCTGTGTGTGTGTGTGGGGGGGGCACACACATGGGGAGGGCAGAGGACACATTGCTGGACTCTGTCTTCTCTTTCCACCCTGTGGGGAAGATTAGAGGTTGAACTCATGTCCTCAGGCCTTCGAAGCAAGTGCTTTTACTGGCTGAGCAGTCTCACAGGCACAGGCCCAGCATCGGGGAATGTGACATTTCAGTAAAGGCCAGAAGAAAGCATAGATCACATGTAGAAAGGATTCCAGACAGGTGGACAGTAACTGAGTCCAGTGTGTGGAGCAGGGAGGCCTGGAGTGATTGAGAAGAGGAGGGTAGAGAAAAACCCAGCAAGCCCTGTACAACTAGGACATTTTCTCAAAAGTCAAGTACTGTTTTTGAACATAGCAGTTCCTTAGTAAGCAGAAGGAGAGAAGGAGACAACTCAGAAAGTCAGAAATCACTGTACTAATCTGGTGACAGCTGTGGTTGTGGTGAAAATCAATGGAGCTAACTGAATTTGCTGATGATCTAAAGGGGAGAATGGAGTCATGGATGATGCCAAGGTTTGGGGCTGTGGTACTGGTTTTTATTGAGATAAGTAAGAGTTCTGGAAGAGCTTAGAATCCTCTAGTGAGGGGATGGGGTGTGGCTCAGTGGTAGAGCCCCTGCATAGAATCCCTCAGTGAGGGGATGGGGTGTGGCTCAGTGGTAGAGCCCCTGCCTAGAATCCCCCAGTGAGGGGCTGGGGTGTGGCTCAGTGGTAGAGCCCCTGCCTAGATCCCCCAGTGAGGGGCTGGGGTGTGGCTCAGTGGTAAGAGTGTAAAGACTTTTAGGAGAAAGTTTAGGGTAGTAGGAAGGGTCAGTAGCTCAGCTTTGGTTGGATTAAGAAAAAAATTTCAGAAATAAAAGGAAAATGCCTGTTGGCCTCCATTTAGCTCTTGAGACAACAGTGGAGTAAGTCCAAAGGCAACTGGAACCAAGCATGCTTGGTCTTAGGAGTTGGATACTCTATCCCAATGATAAAATGTAGCCACGGTCCTCATTGTGTCCCCTGTGTATCTATTTCTAATGTATATGCACATCCATGTAGTAGAAACACAAATGTAGGTTTTGAAACAAAGAATCACAGATTTACATTTTGAAAGCAAAAGTTGTAAATGAAATATATTACAATCTATCCATCTTCAGAAAAGTTGCCGAGGGCTAAACTGTTGATTAACAGAATAAACAGAAATCATGCAAATGCTTTTCCTCCCTTCCCCATTTTGGATGGCCTTGTACTTGGCTTGATGAACTGCTCCACCCTGTCCTGTGAAATGATGGAGGTGTGCTAAGGGAAGGCAATTTGGTGGTGCCTGCGTGGACGGTGGGAGACAGTGAGACAGGAGCAGGTTGGGGCAGACGGGGAGGCCAAGCCCCTCCTGCTCCCTGTGTAGCCCAGGCTGCTCTCTATCTCAGGATTCTCCGCCTCTGCCTCCTGAAGAACACTTTCCTGAGCGCTGGGATTACAGGTGTGCCCGTCCCGCCCACCCACCTTTTTTCTTTTTGCTTCCAGTACTGGGGGTGGAACCCAGGTCCTCTCAGAATATGTGCTTGGCAAGCACTGTCACTGAGCCACTCCCTAACCTTGGGCTTTGGTTTTTGATAACTGGAGCCCATTATTACTTATTACAGCATTAATTGCTGTCCAGTGTACATTTCCTGCTGCGTGTCCATGTGGCCTCCACCCATAGGTCCAGCCAGCGTTGGACTGAAAATGTTCAAAAGGGACAAAGCGACTGGAGAGACGGCTTAAAGACTAGGAGCAGTTGCTGCTCTTGCAGAGGAACTGAGTTCAGTTCCCAGCACTCACCCTGGGTAACTCTTAACTGTAACAGTTTCAGAGGATCTGATGCCCTCTTCTGGTCTTCTTGGATATATGTGGCATGTCTTCATGCAGATACATTTACATAACATACAGGCGTAAGTAAGAATATAAAATCTACTGAACGTGTGCAAACTTTTTCTGCCATTATTCCCTAAACATTAGTCTTCACAATTATGTGCCTTTCTACATTGCATTAAGTGTTTCCAGTTTTTTGTTTGGTTGGTTTTTGGTTTTTTGAGACAGGGTTTCTCTATAGCTTTTGTGGTCTCACTCTGGATACCAGGCTGACCTTGAACACACAGAGATCCTCCTGCCTCTGCCTCCTGTGCGCCACCAGCTCCCAGCACAATTAATCTTTTTATTTTGAAATATTGTTAACATGGGTATGCATGAAGGTCAGAGAACAGCTTTCTGGAATTGACTCTCTTCTCCCACTCTGTGAGTCCTGAGGATCAAACTCAGGTCTTCAG